TCAATGAATCTGTTTCAAAATGCTTGAGAACAAAAGTGTCTATTCTGTTTTAAAGAATAAAGTCTGGAACTTCATTTAACCTCAGCTGATGTTTAAATACAGATATTCTGTACTTAACACACAGAAGCGAATCAAATAATTGGGAGTTTGCATAACCCAGCATAAATTATGAGAATTTAGATTATATCTTACCAAAAATAACTTATAATTGACATTAACCTAATCCATAGCTGGGTATTATGTGTAATTGTCTGTTATAGCATGTATTAAAGATTACTTTTACTTCTTTAAATAGCCTATATTCGTACGAATGTTCAAACTGTGACGCTATATGTCAAAACAAACTCGACTTTAGTTTTATTATCCATAGTTGCATTTTCAATTTATAATTTGTACAGCACTCCCGCAGTACTGAAATTCTGCAACACTCTCCTGCAGTACTGAGTTTTGCGCAAGAACAAAATATTATCAATAGTATTTTTCCTCTATACGACTGGTTCTGATAAACTGCAAAATTCCAAAATCTGTCAAGACCACAGTAATATCGTAATTAGCAATTTTGTAAATATATTTAAAATATCAATCTTACTGGCATTTTTTACTTAAATATAAAAAAGAAAAAGTTTTTCTTGAAGTTTGGAGATAATGTTGCTTAGATGAAAGATTATCTTGATAGTGTTCTGCGGCCACTGTAGGCAAGAAATATGCGTCAAAGAGCCATGCGCTCTAAGCCAAATTTGCAATGTCACATTATAATAAATTCATTGCGGCAAAATTGTTGATTTCCAGCCACATATTAAATAGTATTAGAATGCAGAGGTAGTCACCAAAGCAATAGAATTCACGGCTGCTCACCAACGCGTTAACTCCAGAGGCATGCATAAAGACCGTGTTATTGACGAACATCATTTGCGGTGTGAAAACACGAATCTCCACTCACATTATCGCCTATCTTCATTGCGTCTTTTATGACTTTGTAATCGGAGTTCGACGACGCTTCCTGTGTGTCGAGTTTGTTTCTTAACTAAAACGTTGATATCAATGCTCGACTATATAGGGATACAAATTTATCAGTTCGAAGCAAACGTTTTTGGGAATATGACGAAAGCATTTGTATAAAGAAATAACGATCAGGTCAACATTCAGGAAGAGTAGGTTTCGTCGATCATGTGGCTCTAATGCTACATGGAAGATGGTGTCACAATGTTTGTGAATTGAAAATTCTCTTATTTTTTAATTTTTTTTTAAATTAAAAATTATTATATAAATTGAGGTAATTATATGTGTAATTAACAGTTCTTTTTATAACCTGAAGAAAATGATAAAATTCCATTAAGATACGTCAGGGCTCATTTAAAGATATGTGAAATAAATACTTAATGATGTCTAAGCATATCTGGTCATTGATCATTGTGTTCTTAGACTTGGTTAAGTCTGCTCAAGATCCGAGTAAATTTATTTCTCGTTTAATGTCAGAGCAAATTAAATTATTCATTCTTATTGTAATCCATGTCAATAACATAAGTCGAAATAAAACGTGCATAACATTTTTGAAGTCACGATAAGGTTTTATCAGTAGATTCGTGAAACCTCGTAAAATCACCATCCTTGAGATCATGTTCTTCAATCCATTCTTGGCAATGAACAGATTACATATGTGCATCACCGTGAGAATTCTTCAAATTCCATCTCTGATATCATCGCACTCAGTGACGCTGGAGAAAAACCTTATTGACGAGATCTACACATCATCCAAATCATAATGGCAACTTCATTAATGTTGCTTGGCGTACATCCGTGTTCTGTTCAATCTCCAAAGTTTTCACTTGTTGATACAGATCACTTATACCGTGTTACCAATATTGGAATTCCCCTGGCGTTACTTCGTACACTGTTTTATTGAGGGTGTTGATAAATCCTCAAGTTTTTGATATATTCTAGTCGAGAAGTGTTGTATTGCATCGATAGGAAGGAAGACCGCATGAATGTTTTGGCAACATTTATGTCTCCCGAATCGCTGTCAGAATCCCCGAAGGCGCGCGTGTACGTTGGTCAGAGAGTCTGCGGGGTGCGTCGCATCGCGGCCCAAAGGGCAGAAACACGTGTGAGTGTATATTGATTCCGGGCGCAAACTGAGACAATTAGTACCCTGAGTGTAAGGCGAGTTATGTAACAGGTAGTAGGTGGTTCTTCCTTCCTGGAACATGAGATTCGGCATCGACCTACATGGCGGTTTGTGGACTTTGTCTCCTCTAGGAATCTTCCCTCAACGGGGCACCGTGTTAGCCGGGACGAGCTCTAAGGTCCCGACTGATCTTCCGACATTTGTGATGGAGGATCTTTGTAGGTTTTTTAAATGTGTGTGTGTGTGCGTGTGCGCGCGCGCGGCGAGAGGTGAGAGGAGGAGTCGATAAGATAAAAGATCGCGCTCTATCCATGATCCGTTTGTTAGGGTACTGCTCCGGCATTACCCTGGTATTGTTCGGAGAAACCACTGAAAATCGCCGATCAGAACCGGTCGATAGAATTGTCATCCACACAGTGACTGAACGCAAGCCACCCGTGTAGCTAGTGTCGAGACTCCCCCACAATCGGGCTTTGAATTCCTCGATCTCTCGGTCAGCGGTGCTGCAGAGACAACGATGTTTCTGCCGAGCTCTCGCAGCTGGTCCAAAGTGGGAAGAAGAAAAAGAAGAAGAAGAAGAAGAAGAAGAAGAAGGAGCGCGCCTTTGGCCGTCGACGAGAGTTGACGGCGAGGCGCGACGCGGCCGTCGTCGCGTCGCGTCGGATCGGGAGGCGGCATCGGGCTGTGCGGCCGGCGACGAGGCCGCAAATTGCCCCGCTGATTGGGTCCCGTCCGTTTCGGATGGGTAATGCTGCCCCTCGCGCGACGCCGCTGGGCGGGCGCTGCCGCCTTCGCTTCCCCGGAGCGCGGCCCATCAAAGGCCCGGCGATCGCGCGGCTCCGGCGACGCGACAGCGCTGTCTTTTGACGGCGCCCCGCTCCTCCCCGCCCGCCACTGACCGCCCTCTCCGGCATGAAAAACTCAAAAGCTGCGGCGAAGACAGTGAGGGGGCCTGCGGGATATTTGGGCTGACAAGTCGGAGACACGATTCTCGTTGAAATATGAATTCCTTGTTAAAATCGAAACACTGAATATTTCGATAATGGGGAGACTTCGGGAACATAGATAATGATTCAGCATATTTCTCGACCCTGGATCAGAATCAATTCGTAAATACGTAGTACGAATGTATTGTACATTCAACAGGATTGGGGTTCATTCACAAAGAGTTGAAAATCTGGAAGATAGTGCCAAAAATGCATCTAAATTATCTTAAACCAATCATTTCTGTCTAAAACCTAAGAGTTTGAAGACAACCTTAAAAACAGTGACGAGTACAGAGAGGTGTTCTGACGTAGGACAAACTTGGCATCAGCAGTGGAATCAGTCGGGGCAGGCGTAAATAATATATTTTTGTAGAGTTCGATGTTCTTTAGACTGGAGTATCATTGAGCTGCTTAGAGCATGGCCTGGCAGTGTGACGTCATTCTAAAGTTATATTTGTTCCGTCTGATTCAGGAAAACAAATATCGTAAACGATTACTAAAGAAGAAATGCATTTCTAATAATTGAAAGTGGAAATGTTGGACTTTCTTGAAATATCATAATTAAGCGAGAGTTTTGGGGCTTTTGCCGTATCCAGCATTTCAGACTCCAAAGCATCCTTTCTTGGAAATTTCACAGTTTCAGCATCATCTCAGTGATTGCTCTATTTACGGCCTGCATACAGGATGACCGCGATCTTTGCCTTTTTATCCGTCTAGCGGGATGCAGTTGAAAATATTGGTGACCTTTTCTCTCTTATCCTTGTGATATGGTCATTCCACGTTAATTGTGAGGAAATATAATATATAAATTAATTGAATTCATTGCAATTGATCGCACTCCGTTCTCTTAATTTCACAATACATCAATAGAGAAATACGCCTGAAATCTGCAGCATATACACCCGAAACAACTTTTTAAGTATCATTTACTAAGATCCGCTTCGAATCAGCGCCTCCTGCCACTGACCGATCCGTACTAGATTTTTAGACTCAAGATAACAGATTTGGTTGAGGTGATGCAATTTAAACCTCTAAAATACTGAAAAATCCTATTGCGACTCGTTTTTGTGAGGACAACTCTGGCAATTTTTATCACCAACGTTTTCAAATGAAGTTTTATTGAGAGAACGTTTCCATCACTCCCATTTGCGCGGAGGGAGATACCGTGTGGCCTGAATCACTTGCTTCGAGAGCTTTGTTCTTACTTTGTACTTATTTTGTTTTGTGCTCTGTAGTTGCCTTCGTACATTAAGAAACATTACACTCACCTCACATTAAGGCAAGATTATGCCTTTTTAATTTGATTTTCTTTTAGATTTTTAGTTTTTAAACATGTTTTAAAATTTTGGTTTTCTTTCCCCTGTGAGTGTTGAAACCAATCCGAAAAACAATTGCCTTTGTTCTAATATAGAGGTGAGCTTGCTCATGGTGGTTATCACACGGGTCGGCGTGGCGTGATCTCTGTGATCCAGAAGCCGATGGCAGTTCCTTGCTGTAGAGTTTTCATCTTTTAGTGTAGTTCTGAAATGTCAGTTTGGGGAGTTTAGTTACTCCTATTTTAATGCAAAACTAATGAAACACATAAAATTGGTTTTGAATAAATATCTTTAAGAAGGGATGAACAACTCTTCTGATCTCTATTAATTATACAACATTTTTTTTATTTTAACATATTTGCATTTAAATGCTGTCAAATAATATAACAATGTAATACTAGTATTTTGAAAACCGGAACCTCATAGTAATAAGAACTATACAATTCAAGAAACCAAAATATGACGGTAATAAAAATAGTTTATTTTTAAAGAATTCACTGCATTTTTAAAGAATCGACTTTTCGACGATTGCCGCCGAGATCTCTAAACGAATGTTTCACCACCGAGGCCAGTGTTAACTCTGTTCAGGGGTGATCTAGGACTCAGTCTCGCCACGTAAAATAAGGCATCACTTCAATTCAATTCATTTGGGTGTGAGGTTTACAAATATTTTCTTTCTAAAACTGATTAGACAATATTTGTTGCTTTGATCGAACAGTTTCTAACAGTACTGTCGATACTGTTTCGAACATTACGTTGAACTTAGTTTTGTTTGCTGTGCTGATTTGTGGAGTATGAGTCACATCCAAAGCCTCAGATTCGTGTTTTGAAACACGGCATGAAGGGAACGAGCGTCTGTAATTCCAGGAAGACGGAGTACGAGCAGAAGAGTTGGGGTGGGAGGGGGGCGAGGAGAATGATTGCGTGTGGGTTGTAGCGCACAGATGCTGCGAGCAGAAATTGACTCAGCGCAATTCGACCCACTCACACAGACTTGCTCGCGTTACTAGACATTGTCTTAGGCTATTTCCATAATGGTATTCAGTATTTCAATTGAGCTCTTTGGTGCCTGCGACGTCCATTACGTCACGAGAATGAAAGATTAGTTCACATACAAAATATTTGGTTGACATTTTGTTATTCCGTTTGTTTCGTTCCCTCTGTTACTGTAAATGGGTTCTGCGTTTTTTATATAGCATTGGACCCTGGTAAATTAATGTTGTAATTTCGCACACTCTTCAGAAACACTCGTTTCCAAACTTGCGTCAATACATTATATATTATATTCTTTTTGCATAAATTATACATTACACATTCTTTAACTAGCCGAACTGCACTGATCTATTTCTTGCGCAGAGAACCAATAAAAATTTGTGAGGAAAAAAGTAATATAATTTTTCTCATATGTTTCATTGAGTTCCTAGTAATGTAGCAACTTTTTTATTGGCTGAGGAGTGGTTTGACAATGTATCATTAACATTTCTTAAAGCATTTTTTAAAATTGGGAATTATTCTTGAGATTATCAGTTAATATTTATTTATGAAAATACTCGGATTCTTTCAGTTTGGTAGGTAAATCCGAAAGGTTTCTTTCTTGTCTTGATGAACTTCTGGGTTCTTTGAATATGCATTGTAATAGCCTCCTCCCTTTTCGCTTGTTAGTGAGATTCTCGGATCTGAGCCAAACATATTTTTACACCAGACTAAGATAATTGACTCTTATTTAGTCGTACATTTTCCTATTCTTCAAGACTGATACTAAACTACAAACAAGCCTACGAAGGCCGTTGACCGAAACAGTGGGAAATTAAAACTTAACTATTTCTTCAAAACATACTTGTGATTCAACCTGAGAGAGCGTGAGGAATTTTGTATTTTCATACTTATCCGTACTTTGTGCACAAAGCTGAGTGTTCATATTGAGTGTACTTGGAACTGACTCAATGAGCTGAGAAACGCAATGCACATTAACAGTGCAATAATACGTTTGGCAGATATTTAAAAAGTCTAAATTATTTATGAGCATTATTAGAGTTGTAAAGATTAAAAATAACGTAATACTTGCAAAAAATCACTGTACTATATTATCTATGTTCTGTCAATTCTCCTAGTTTATTTACTTGAAGAACATAACTGAAAAACTGAAAAAGAATTAATTTGGCAAGGTATCATAAAACAACTATGGTAGCTTTATATTCATAAATTTTAACGGTCAGTAATGCATTATTATTATCTTTGCTATGGTCTCATTTTATTGCGGCCAGTCAGGCTTTGGTGTAATATCCTACAGGGTTATTAGAACTCAATATAGAGTTTCATCTTGGCAGTTGTTGCAAGTAAACTATAACTCGCAAGACTCACTCTTCGGAAAATAACCGGATCATAGCAAAGAAAATGATAAAAGAATTTAGACAGTTATGATATACTATAATAGTTAATGCATTATAATTGACAGTTAATTCAGTTGACTATTTCTATAGTGAACTCGGATGTAGTGAACTGTCGGTTACAGTGAACTTGAGCCACTGATACCGTTTCATTTACATTGCAAATAAGCAGAAGAAGATTCGGTTATAGTTAGCTCTTAACCTCGGCTATAATGACCGTAGGAAATGCAACGTTCTGGAAATTAATTCCTTTCTGGAAAAAATATGTCGCCTCACTGCCACAAATTCCAATGGCTTGCAGATGCTTGGAAAGAATGTCGGCCAAAGATCATCATCGAAGAAGTCTCTCCTGAGGAGAAGGTATCGGACACGGAATAAAGACCTGCTGACTTTATTCCACTGCAGAAACATAGACCGTGTCTTTCGAGAGCTACAACTAGCGTTGACGAAGCACGGCTTCTTGCTTCAGTTTCAAACTTGAGATGTTACTTGAGATTCCACGCGAGAAAGCGCGTGGTGCTCTGCGTAGGTGACTGCCACTGCCTGGTGACACCGCCGCGCCGTACAGCGCGGAAAAGCGATCGGGCTCGGAAAGGAACAAAATCTCTCTCACTCTCTCCCCCTCTCTCTCTCACTCTCTCTCACTCTCTCTCACTCTCTCTCCCTCTCTCTCCCTCTCTCTCTCCCCCTCTCTCTCCCTCTCTCTCTTCCCTCTCTCTCTCCCTCCCTCTCTCTATCCGGTCTCTCCCCTCTCTTTCCTCCCTCCATCTTCCTCTCTTCTCTCTCTCTCCTCTCTCTCCTCTCTCTTCCTCTCTTCTTCCTTTCGTCCCTCTCTCCTCCTCTCTCTCTCTCCTCTCTCTCCTCTCTCTCCCTCCTCCTCTCCTCTCCTCTCTCCTCTCTTCCTCCTCTCTCTCTCTCCTCCCTCTCTCTCCCTCTCTCTCTCCTCTCTCCCCTCCCTCTCTCCCTCTCTCTCTCTCCTTCTCTCTATCTCCCTCTCCTCCCTCTTCTCTCCATCTCTCTTTTATACGCATACAATGATGATATGAATGACGATGGAGTAATTGTGGAATAAGAGTCAGAGGAAAGAAGAGAACTTCGCGAAATCTCCCGCCAGCTCGTCGAGTTGACCGGAGATCGAACCCGACCCCCAACACGTGGAAGCCTTTGCGCTAGCCATACACCACAGAACGCCTGCCTTCCCGCGCTTTCTTTTTGCGAGGAGCAT